TTTGCCACATTGGGCAAACCTATTCATTTAAAGATGGATAATGCCCCTGCATATACATCTCGTGCCTTTGCACAATTTTGTAATCAATGAAATATAATTTTAAAGCATAAACTTATTCATAATCTTATTGGACAAACTTTGATTAAATGAGCGCATTGTACTCTTAAAACTTGCCTTTTAAAACTAAAACTAAAAAGTGAGAATCTAGCCTCTCATATTAATAATGCTTTAAATATTGTTTTATTTAAAGTTAATGTGCTCAATATGCAATCCAAAGTTAATATTCACAATTAGTTGTCTACTTTGGATAGAAGTTTTATTCCCAAACAGCTATTACTAAATATTTATGTAAAACATAGTGTTTCAGACCCAGGATGACAAGACCCTATGCCTCTGATCACTTGGGAAAAAGGATAGACTGCTACACTTACAGGTCCTGTTTGGACTCGAGGTTGATGCATGAGATCATTATAATTATGAATGGACATCGGGAACTTCTCAACCCAATTCCCAAGTTTTGTTTGATCCTGGATGAGGGGAGTCCCACCAATCAAGAGGACAATGACCACTCTCCTCGAAAGAGAGAAAACATTAAAAGAGGACAAATAAGAAACACTGAAAGAGGATTCCAAGCTTCTTGGCTTCCAGTGTCTTGGGGAGACAAAATCTTTTAACAGCCTCAGCTCAACATCTGTTGACTCAAATGGGGTTAAAATGTACTCTTGAAAACTTACTGCTTTGCTTGCTAAACTCACATAAAACTCTATAAATGTTTTGATTCTTATGGTAATGTTATTCTGCTGTTGTACCCCAGTTGTGGGAAATTTAGTTCAGTCAGACTCCTGGACTTCTAGAACCCATTATAATATCTGGGTTCACTTGGCTGAAATTATTATATACCTGCAAGAATGTTGCATGGTACCCATTGTTGTCTTAACAGATTAACTGTGTTCTTACCATCCTCGAAGGGTTTAATGGGCCACCATCATGCACAACGTATTCATGGAGGTCTATTCCCGTTGATGATATACTGTGATGATTCAGTATATCTTCTCTAAGACAGAATTTGACGCTTTGACATTTTCCTTAGTTGATATCTCTAGACTAGTTGTTGGGGCTTACAAAAGCACTATGAAGCTGGCCTGTGCTATGGTCTAGTATTAATCATAACTCTATGGCCATTAATATGCTTAACAAGGAGCAAAAAACAACACTGTAAAGCCAGTCTTGATAATTGGGTTACTATTGATTATCTGTTGTTGTTACATCATAAAGGATGTCAGGAGTTTAATAATATTTGTTGCTTCAATTTGAGTGATAACAGTAATTCTATTTCAAGGGAGTTAAATTACCTTAAAGATAACCATTAACAAGGTCCAACAAGATGATGGAGGTTTAGACCTGTTGGATTGGATAACTTAGTGGTTACCCAATTTCACCTGGGTCAAACAGTTATTCATAGGTGGATGTTTACTACTTTGGGGATTGTTATGTGCGCTTGCTGCTGTCAATGTCTGCCCTATTTTTTGCCCCCACCAGAATTAAGAAGAAAACAGATATTACTTATCCAGAAGGCCCTAAAAAAAGGCGGGGGCTGTAGGTATTCTGACTGCGGAAATATCAGGAAAGCATTCCTCAATGAATAAACTCCCCGGGGTAACTGGTGCCCTGATTCCCAGGATTGGAATGCCCAGCTATTCCCTGAGGAGACTATTAAGATAACTATGGGGATGCACCACCTGGTTTACATAGTGACATCATTTGAAGGAGAGAAGCTCTGTGTTTGCATTAACCTGGACCTTATCTCAGTTAGCTAGCACTCAGTATTAAAGGAATACTGGTCAAAATATAGTCACTGGTGGTGGGTAATATATAATTTTTGGGGTTATTAAAGATGACAGCAGAGAGGGGTAGGCGTCCTTTTTTTCTGCCATCCTTCTGTCTGTTTGCACCTGCCCTATATGTGTGTCTGTTCTTTATGCACTTCCTCCACAAGTCTCCCCCTACAGGTGTTCTTTAACACATTATTATGAAGGTAAGACAACTTTGAAAAAAAATTCTGCCATTTCAGTTTAAATGTGTGTGTGTGTGTGTGTGTGTGTGTACAACTATCAATGTTTGTATGTGAATTAAATATATCCTGAATTACACACTGAAACTGAATGCCATTGGCAGCTTTTCAGAAGGAGGTTAGAAATTTGTGACTGGCACTAGTATGGCAATATGTAAAAACGTGGATGTGTAACCGATGTGATTCTGCAATCTGTATACGGGGTAAAAATGGGAGTTCATAACCCACTTGAATGAAATGTATGAAATATGATATGTCAAGAGCTTTGTAATGTTTTGAACAACCAATTAAAAAAGGAAAAAAAAAAAAGAAATTTGTGACTGGGGTCAAAAAGAGAAATGCATTTTTTTGTGTATTTGTTTTCACTCAATTCTTTATGTAACCATTTGCATTTTTTCAATAAAAAGAAACAAAACAAAAAAAAAAAAAAACAAGGTCAAAGTTTTCACCAGATAAGAGTTAAATAGGTAAGGAAGTCCTCACTGAAGACTATTTTATTAAAGGAAAAGAGAAGGCAATTCCCCTGAAAGTAAAGGAAGGGGAGATGTTAAGCACTGAACTGTCTTAGAGGGAAAGGACTGGAAAACATTGAAAGGTTGGTCAACTTGGACCATCTGTTTGCGTTATTGGTACTGATGGAAATCCTACCTTTCCGTAGAGACCAGGAGTTAGGAGTTATCTTTCTTGAATATTGCATTTCAGAGAGAGAACACTCAGGTCCTTGAGAAAGAGAGTTTTGGCTTGTAGAAGTGATAAAAGACTAGGATAAAATTTACATCTTGGAGAGGAAGGGAAAGAAATTACAACTGCAAATTTCTCATGTAAATGGTACAAGAAAATGAAATATAAACTCATTGTTAAAACTGAAGAATTGAAAATACCAAGAATGGCAATAATATGTGATAAGGTTTTAAATGTACCATACCATACAAACACACACACACACACACACACACACACACACACACACACACAATACATAATACATTCCTAGTTGGAATTTTAGTAATTTAAACTAATGTTATCATTTAACCTAACAATTCTATCTTTATATTTTTCTCATGGAAAATGAAAACATATGTATAAATAAAGAATTTTACAAAAATGTTTATTCCTAATAGCAAAAAATTGGAATCAACCCGTACACACACATCAATAGGCAAATCTGTGGAGAAATAATGGAAAGTGCTTGGAAAATATGTAAAATGTAGAAAGCATTTTTTAATAATAATTAAAAACAAAAGTTCCTTTCTATGCAGAAAATCTCTCCACAAAGGCAGAAAAAAAAAAGAAAAAAGAACGAAAAAACTTTTATCACTGAATAAACATTAACCCTATGTATCACAGGCACTCTGCTAAAGAGATGTCAGTGTTGGTGGTGGTTGGGGGGGATCTTACCACAGGATATATCCCAGCAGATACATTCCATATGTTGATTGTTTTATCTAAAGGAAAGAATAACACATCTTTTAATGATCTAAGAGCTGTATCTTATAGCCAAATGCCTATACATTAAAGTACCATGAAGACAGGACCACAGGTGTCACCCTTCTGGATATTTACTAAGAGAAAGTTACTAAGTATACAAATATACTTCTGGCATACAAAACTGGGAAAAGACTTACTTTGCTTTTTGAAAAAGTTGTACATATATCTCAGTGAGATACTGGCAGCGGTTAGAATTTCAAGATTTGTAAACAAAGTTCTAAAGAGCAGTTATAAAGAGTAAGAGATGGGTAGTTTACATTTTGCAATAGAGACAATGCACTTTTTTCTTTATAGATTTGCTTTTAATCTTACAAAATTTCATGTAACAGAATAAAAGAAGAGAGTACTGTTTCATTTAAGAACGTGAGAGAATTTCAAAGACATTGTGATATGCAAAACTAACATATTTCATATCCCATATATTTGAAACTATACCATAGAAATATGAAATTATCTGTTGCTTAGATCTAACTATGTGATATATAAGGTTGGTCGGGAATGAATGGGTACTATAGGAAGCTTATGGAAATCTTTCACATCTTGAATAAGTGATTTATTTCATGGCTGCATTTGCTTATTAAAACCCAATTAAAATAAGTGCACATTATAAGTAAATTATTCATCTATATTAAATGAGCCTGTAAGAATATAGATTAAAATGTGAAGAGTGGTTTCTGAGTCGTTAACTGTCACTTTTTATCCTCTTTTTGAAAAGTTTGAAATTTTTTCCACCCAGCAGGAATGCTAGAAAAAAAATAATAAATGAAAGTGTTGTTGTGAAGATACGATCAATCGTCTATTAACGTACTGGAAATGAATCTAATCTTTCATCCTAACTTTTCTTATTCAGCATCTACATTGTAATAAGATGCCCTGGTTATTCTTATGCTTATTAAAATTTAAGAAGCACTTCATTGAAATATTTCTGAAAAGATGAAATTTTATCATTGCTCCTGGAAAGATAAATGAATCCCAAATATCAGGAACTAGTGGAAATTTCTATTAAAGCCAGCTAAGTGCTCTATCCTCGACTTTCAATTTTTGGTTTTAATTTCTTGGAGGCCAGAGTCGCATCTCATAGAACAGCAAAAACCCTCCAGAGGTATAAACAGAGAAGCAAGAGAAGCAGGAAGAGCTCTGAAATCCACCGCCGAGTATTTCTCCTCGGACAGCGGGTGTTTCCTGGTACCTAGGCTTTGTCTGCAGGCCTTGCTTTCCAACGTCCAAGCTGCACGCACCCGCTACTGGTATCGGCCTCTAGGGGCGGAGCCKGGCGGCAGGGGCGGGACCAGGTAAGGAGATAGTGGGGGCGTTGCCGCGGAGAGGCGTGGCCGAGCGGGGGCGGAGGGACTGGGCGGGAGGAGCCGTGGGGTGGGGGTGGGGCGTTGCCGCAGGGGGTGGAGCCGAGAGGAGCCACAGGGGCCAGGGTGGGGGCGGGGCAAGCGCGGAAGGCCTGGGACCGGTGTCGGATCGCGCAGTTAGCGCCGCCTGTTCTGGGGCGGGCGGGGTCTCGGACCCCCTAAGTGTCTGGATGGGGCTGTGTTTTCCGTGCCCGGGGGACTCCGCTCCTCCCACGCCCGACCCGGTGAGTAGCGCTACGCCTCGCGCACCTGTTCTCTGGGGCGCGCAGGCGGCCTGAGCTACGTGCTGCCGGGAGACGGTTGTACTTACTGGCTCAGGCCTGGGAGCTGGTCGCTGGGGACCTGGGTGACGGGGAAGCGGGAACCTATACCAAGGACCCTTGGGACCTTACCAGGGAGCGCAAGGCCTCCGCCTCCTTGTTGCCCTCTCCAGTTTTTACCTTTGGCCGACTGGCAAAATTGAGTTTGTTGGACAGTGGCACACATACACAGGAGGTGCCCTGTATGGAACGGTCTTGGAGGTGCGGTTGATGAAGTTAGGGTGCAAAAAGAAAATTATCTCCGTGAAGTGCCTGCTGTGCTAAGAGATGTGTCTTTTCCTGTGTCTATACGAGCTCTTTAAAGAAGGTGCTCTTTTTTGGAGATTTTATTCATCAATGATTTCCTTTTAGTGTTTATTTCATTTAAAAAAAAATCTTCCTTTTAAAAATATTGTGTGTAGAATAGGGTGTACAATTTGTAAAACTGTCATATTTAACAAAAATACTGGACGCCCAGGTAATCTGAATTTAAGATAATCAAAGAATACATTTTAATATAGATTTATTCCATGCAATATTTGGTATATATCTATATAAAAATAGTCGTCGTTTATCTAAAATTCAAATTTCAGGAGGGAATATGTAGTATAATACATTTGTACTTCTTGTAGCTTTTTATTGTTAACAGTATCTTTACATTAGTCTTTCTTACAGGGAATTAATAACAAAACAACAACAACAACAACAAAACCTAAATTCCTCTCATTTGTTCTGTGTAGCTAAAAATGAGTGGAAGAAATGAAATATTTAGGGAAATACTTTAACTTTTCATCCATTGGGTTATAGGTACTGAAAAACCATCTGATGTACTAAAGTTCAACTTGTCTTAGTTGCTGCTTTTGCTTTTAAATGAGGTTAATTTTGTTTATCTCGCTCTTGATAAAATGCCACTGTCAGCATTTGTTAAGCCCTCCACCCACCCACCCCCATCACTGGGTTGTACCCCCTTCCCTTGATAACCACTCGCTGTTGGCTGTCACTATATAGGTGAAGTTTTTCCTGAGATAAGTAATGTATGCCCCACCATACCGCATGCACCTCCTTTCCTCATTTATTCACAGTGCCATTGATGTTTTCCCCAAACATGCACTGAACTCTTGACATTTATTTACTTGATTACATTCCTTTCTGTGCCCTCATTGCAATTTATGTTCATCTGTGTTTTCACTGCTGTATTCCCAGCACCTAGAAAGGTTCATAAAGCAATGGTGGTACTCAATGATTTGTTCAATGGATGAATAAGTACATCATAGCATGGAAGACAAATTATTCATACCATTCCCCAAGAGAATGCTATTTATTGTCTTATATATTTAAATATTTTACAACTAAATAATACATGGTATAGAAAAATAATATTCACTGTTTCCCAGCTTGGAATATTATCACTCGTAAGTTTACTTCTTGTTCTTATCCAACACAGTACCAGCTTATTTCATTCAGGAATCTTTCCTGAAAACACCTGCCTATTCCATTCTCTCTTTTTAACTGGCAGCTCCAAACTGTGTATCTGCCTCCTTGTAAATTTAATACTACTTGTTTTATTATTGCCCTRTTTATAAGCCCTTTTTTTCAAAAAGAAAATAACATTATTATATAGTGCATACTGCTTATATTATTTTATCATGCCCTAATTTGAAGGTGTTTTGATTTGGAAAATGAAATTCAGGAAGTTGAATATTTTATAAATTTTCTAATATTGGTATTTTTGTTGTTTTGTTTTGGCTGGGAGGGACAAGGTCTCCCTATGTTTCCCAGGCTTGTCCTAAACTCCTGAATTCAAGGGATCCTCCTGTCTCAGCCTCCTGAGTAGCTAGGGCTACAGATATAAACCATTCCTGGTTTGAAAAATAGCATTAATTGTGAAATGTTTTGGGTCAGTACTGAATGTTTTTGTAATTATACTACTTATAACATAGTCATAAAATTTGTATGTAATAATATTTGGTTTTGAGGTTTGTTTTTGTTTTACATATTTAGGCAGAGAAAAGAGCAAAGCTTGCAGAGGCTGCAGAGAGAAGACAAAAGGAGGTAAGATTAAAACTAAAATCATGCCTACTTACATAATTTTGTATTTCACTTTTTATAGATGTATATTATTAGTGGTAGTATTCTATAATATAAGTGTTGTCCAATATCCTAAAAATATGAGTCTAAAGATAATCACTTAAAATATCATTTCCTTATATCTATCAGTTACATTGATATGTTTACATCAGTTAGTATAATGAGGATTAGCCTACAGATGTTTTCTGCAAGATTAGATGCTCTTATAATAATATTCCTCCTTGGGACAAAATAGCCATGTTTTATAAAACAATAACAAATATGAAGCAAGTTTAGGGGAAAATTTTGTATGGTTGCAAAATATTCAATGAAGAACTAGCAGTGCATTTTACATAAGGCCGTTGTACAAATGTTCTTTGTTACCAAAATAAACCAACTTTCTAGCCCCAAAGAAAAACCTAAAACCACACACACACACACACCTTTTAGACAGCAGATACCAATATTTTTTATACCTCTTTTTAAATTACTTATAGGCTGCATCTCGGGGAATTTTGGATGTCCAGTCTGTGGAAGAAAAGAGAAAGAAAAAGGAAAAAGTAGAAAAACAAATAGCCACATCTGGGCCCCCACCAGCAGGAGGACTTAGAGTAAGTATTAAAGTTTACTTAAGACTTAATTTAACTGGCATTCTACAAAACTTAAGTAGCAATCTGTTCAATAATTTCTTCTGAAAATGCATTATGAGAAAAATTTGAAGTAATTTAAAAGTATGTATGGGTTGATTACTGTTTTTTTATTCTAATGGGAAAATCGTACACTTTTCATATTACTATATCTTAATACATTCACTTAATATAAACTTAAATGTGTCAAAAATTCAGGCAACATAGAAAAGTATGAAGAACAATGTAAAAATCCAAACTCACTGCCATTTTGACAGACAGTATTTGTAATCTCCATTTACACATCAATCATTAAATTCTGTTTTGTAGTCTAAATTTTTTTACTCTTATGATTTGGGATTGTTGATCTTCCCATTGCCACTCATTGTCATAGTTATGTAAGTGTTAATTCTGACCACAGGGTGTACAGGTGGGAGCTCTGCACACATTCCTCCTAATGTACCTATTGCAAAGGGAGATAGATACAGGGTATATAACTGTGGAGAAATTATTCAAGCTTCCTGAATTCTGGAATCTTTACTGAGTAGCAGCATTGGAAAAGTTTTATCTTACATGTTATAATTCAGGATAATGATTCATATATTAAGATTTATTCTTAGTTTGCTTTTAAAGATGTACTTTTCTAAAATAAGTCTATTTGTAAAAGGGACAATGTCCTCAATTTCATGCATATTTAATTTATCAGTGATTTATGAGTGGTTTTTAGGTCATTCATTTTCTTTGCAGTTCAATTTTGGTTTTGCTCTAAAACTACACTCTTCCCAGATACCACCTCCCTCCACCCTACATATCTATATACCCCTAAATTGAGGGACATGTACTTGAGGGGGGCATCATTAGGGCAGAATTGATTCTAGCTCAGGAATATCATGTAGAAATAAGAGTTATATCTTTGTTATTTTAGCATTGTAAGTTACTCCATTTAGTTTCAATTAATGAAATTACATTTTTTTCTTTCTTTATCATGAATTTTTAACAATGTATAAAAATTGATTTTAATGTTAAGATACATAATGTGATCATTATGCTGTTATTTTATATATCTTTATAAAAGCAAAATAAATCTAGTGCAGAGTTGGGAGATGACAAGGTCAAAACTTCATTAGAATCAGTTTCAATATTCTGTTGAGATAAAGAACTTTGTTACTAGGTATAATTCAATGTAAGGTTATCAAAAACAAATAAAAATATGAATGGTAAATTTTAGAACTGGAAATAATGTTGAGATCCTCTGTTTCATTGAAATAGAGATATTTATATTCACATAGACTGTTATAAGAAAAGGATACTTTAATCTACATATAGTCTGAATTAAGAAGATATATTCTAAACTCTAAGAAAGAAAGGGATTTATTTAATTAAACCCAAAACTTCATACCCTGAAGTATATAGATTATATTATATTACTGCTGGTCCCCTTCAAAGTGTTTTAAGTAGAAAACATCTCCAGTCTTAAATTTAGTGTTTCTTTGTTTTGTGTGTGTGTGTGTGTGTGTGTGTGTGTGCTGCTTTTTTTTTTTTTTTACACAATGCTCAAAAGTATTTATTAGTGATTTTTCAAAATGGCACTATAGCAAAGTCTCTAGCCTCTTTATATCCATCCTATTTAGTAAGCATGTGTAATTTCAGGAACAGGTAAATAAATGTTTGGCTCTTCTACAGGATCAAGAAGAATTTGCTTTAAGAGTATTCGATTTAACCTACTACTGTTCATCTCTTACAATGCAAGTTGCCATGGTGATGTTTCCTTGGGATAAAAATCAGCAAAATGTTAGCTTAGAATTCAATCTGGCATCTCTTATAGGAGCTCTAGGTAAAAATTATTAGCCACATTCTGTCAACAGAGAAAGTTCCCAAAGTTGGTACAGTCTCTGCATCATTCACATCTTTGCAGAACTGGATTAGACCAAGTCCTTCAATTCTAGAGGCAGATTTCCATTCAGTGACCTTTGACCCAAGTTTCTATTGTGATTACTTCATCACCATAGGGTCTTGAACATTGTTTTAAAGGGAAGAATTTTAATAATTATCTATTTATTTTTAAACATTCTAGTAAATTCTGAATAACTAAAACAATAGAATATTACTCATAAAGAGTGAAATTATGGAATTTGCCAGTAGATGGATGGAACTGCAGAATATCATGCTAAATGAAATAAGCCAGTCCCCCAAAACCAAAGGATGAATGTTCTTTCTGATGCTAACCCATAACAAGGAAAAGTAGAGAGGGGAAGTATAGAAGTTCATTGCTCTCTTATAAGAAATCTTTCTTACTGAATAAAAATGATTCTTGGGGCCATCAAGCTAGACTGTGGCAGAGATATTTTTCTCAAAAAGAGTGACTTACTCTCAGAAACCACTCTTCCTGCCCACTTTGGGTTCTTTTCCCTCAGGATAATCACTTCTGCCCCCAGCACACTGGCTTTAATGGGCATGCTCCTACAGCACATCTAGAGCATGGCATTCAAAAAATTATTTTGGAGACTCAGGGATAAAAGAAGAGAAAATACAAGGTAGAGAGAGTATCTTAATCCTCAAATCTCTTGGTAATCCTACTGCAGGTACCCACTGATTTGCTTAGATATTTTGTCTTTTTATGCTTTTAAACCATCATGTTATCTCAGACTTTTGACCATAATGCAAAGTTTAATTATTAGTTGTTAATCATAAAAATCATGTTGCAGGTTTGGAGCTATAGCTCAGTAGTAGAGCACTTGCCTAGCATGTGTGAGACACTCCTTAGTACCACATAAAAATGAATAAATAAAATAATTAAAAAGAATTTCAAAAATCATTTTGCATTTCTATGTCCCATATTATCATTTTACATATTTTTAATTAAAATTTTGTGACCTAGTTTTAAATAAAAAATTACTTTTCTCTATTTTTGTCTTTTCTAGTGGACAGTTTCATAAAGCATGACATGAATGGGAGAGTCTACTGCCAGTAGTTGTTCAACATCTGCAATCAAATGGAATTCCTTAATTTAATTTCTTCTCTTTGAATACAAGAAGAGTTAAACTTTGTAATATTAGTGCCCTCAAGTGCAGTGCTAAGTCCGTACTAAAGGTATTGGAAAAACTTGATTTTCAAGCTTAGGAATTAGTGAGACCTTTCATTAAATTCTTATTTTCCTATGTTTGCTCTTCTATAGAAGTGATTTATTTTTTCATAGTTAAAATGTGGATCTAAGGCTGGGGTGTAGCACAGGGGAAAGAGTACTTGCCTACCTTGTGTGAGGCACAGAGTTCAATTTCCAGAATCACAAAAATATGTGTACAGTTTTAAATAGCATATATACATTACATGTAAAAATCCTGCATACACCTCTAATATTAAACCTTGCAATTATAGTTCCTTCCTTTATAAAATGACCTACCTGCTTATAGTTGTGCTGCATGACCTTATATGTGTTTTTATTTTACTACATTTGAAATCTTTTGCTCAAACTTATGGACTTAGTGCCTTTAAAATGATCATCAGGGAACATCTTGAGAATTCGTTTGAAGGGCTTATGTGAAGAATGCTATACATTTTTATAACTTAGTAATGAATATTTATAGGTAAATGTTGAATCTCTATTTATTTTATATTTCTATAGCTTATAAAATTTACAGATCATTTTACATTATAATAAAGGCTATCTTTGCTGAATTTAAAATTATATATTAGTCGTACCATCAGAGGGCAGTGATGTACTATTGTGTAATGTCAGACTCAGCTCTTTAAATTCTATGTAGAAATTAATGAGCTAAAGAATCTGGATGAATTATGAGAGAAGAATGTATTCATTCATAAGCATTTTTATTCTTTTGTATTTATTAAAGAATACTTATACGATTCATACAGTTGTAAAATTGCCAAGGCAAGTATGAATGTAAGAAAAAGCAACATGTACGTACAGTATTTTAAAAATTCTACTTCAAATATAAAAATATTAGGTAATTCTATATGAAGCATAGATGTAAATTTTTTTATTTTTATTAAGAGCTTAAGGTTAGTAGTATTTTATTTTTCTTTTTGATATATAATAAGCTAAAATAGAAGAATTACTATTAACCATCATGGATGCTGACTCTTCTAAATGGCAGGGTCACATATCTGAGCCCTAAATTAGAATATCTAGATCCTAATTGCCAATAGAGGCTATAAATTAAATAGACCACCCCTCTTGATTTACAGAAGGAAAACTGAGCCACTATTTCACTCATCCCTCCTACAGGCTTCTATTGTATTGCAATGCAATTGTACATGTTACTTTTTTTTTTTTTAAGAGAGAGGAGAGAGAGAGAGAATTTTTTAATATATATTTTTCAGTTTTCGGTGGACACAACATCTTTATTTTATGTGGTGCTGAGGATCGAACCCAGCACCCCGCGCATGCCAGGCGAGCGCGTTACCTCTTGAGCCACATCCCAGCCCAAGGATAGTGAAATCATTGAATTTTATTTTAGAAACCCAATTTTTGACTTTATATGATTAATTTCTCCACACAAACAGAAAAAGGATCATTAATAGCTGAATGGATACAGAACTAAAGTATATGAACCTTGACCTGTGCAAAGCCTTCATCCTCTGTTAATATAACAAGAACGATTTTCCCTTCACTGTGTCTTGAAGAAGTAGAGCTTAGTGTACAAACAAAGGATTACTTCAGGGGACAGCACTGTGTTTCTAACAGCAGTTTTATCACAATAGATGCTTAGTTATGGTTGAACTGTGAGAAAGAGGAAGGTGTTGCTGTGTTGCTTCTGGGGGAAAACAGTGTATGCTGTTCCTGTCCATCAGGACCTGCCTCCATGGTGTGGCCCACTTTCCTCAAAACACAAGCATTACAGGGACAAAATGGTGGTACTCAGATATTAAGAATATTGTTAGGAAGATGAAGACAAAAGGGGAAGCTAGATGCTTGATAAGAAACTAGTAAGTGACTTTTAAAATACACACAATGCATTTTCCTCATAAAGTTATGGATCAGTTCCTGTGAAAACCATAAATAGGAGGGAATTTTCTCTAATTTATCACTTAAATAACATTATAATGATTAATATGCCATTCAAAGTCCCTGTCCAGAATACTAAAAACTGGAGCAGTAAGATGCACATATGTTGCTATCATGTTATGTAAAATGTTTAAACCAAATCTTAATTTGATTCATTGAACTATTAATATGGCTAATAAAAAGCTCTATGTTATTACACAGTTCCTTTATGACACATTGCATGTTTTTAAAACATCGGTATGTGATTCTGTTGTTTGACCAATCATATTCAGAATGTGATTTAACAGTTTTACCACATGGTTTTGTTATAAATTCTGTATTGCCTTTGGAGTATATAAATATACATTTTTAGTATAAAATCTGGCTTTGATCATCTCTGTTTACCAAAAATCCTATCTTTAATACATCTTAAATAATTAGAACATGTGTTGGTAGTTAGAGACACTTTCGTTTATTTGGGATTATCAACAGCAAGCAAGCTAATGACTGTTCATAAAATCTTTAAATTTATACATGGGCATACTTCTTAGTTTATACTGTAAGGGAGAAATGATGTTACTAGCCTAGTTTTTTAAAGAGAAATTATGGTATAGTAGAGGGCCTTTCATCTTGGGTTCCTAGGAGAATTGATAAAAGCTGTGAATTTTTCTTTTTCCAAAAGTTTGACTTGTTTATTTTTCACTGATAATTATGTTCTGTCCTTAGAAAATAAAAGTGTATCTTGTGAGTTTTGAAAAGTAATTTTTGCATAAATAGATTAGCAAAATGCAGATAGATATGTTTGCCTATCTAACTTGAGAATTAAGGCATATTTTTTTAAGATCTCCAGGCAAGCTTTAAATGATGTATATGCTCTAAGCTGGTTCATGTATGGTAATGAGGCCCTTTCCTTTGATTTTCTAAATAATACTGACACAAAGCACTTGTGTGTATACCAAAATTTTTTATTTTGAATCATCTGTGTTCCAATAATTGTTGTTCCAACAACTGTGGTTTTTTGTTCCAACAATTGAAACATTTTAAATTTCCCATAGGATGTGGCTTTTTATTATACTGTTCTCCCCCTTCTGGGTGTGCCTCCTTTTACAAATATTGCCTCAAAATAGGACTGCTCTGGTTTAAGAACTAAATGTGCATTAATTCCTTGATATGGATGTGATATCTTTGTTATATCCTGAACTTCAGTGACTATCTTTGTAAGACTGTACTTAGCTTATGCTGAGTTTCAATTTAATGCCCTTCATATTTTAAGGGCAGAACATTGCAATTGTCTTTTCAGTGACACAATGCCCACCACTTCATGAAGTGGGCATTGCATCTTAATTTTTATTAAGAAGTTCTTTCCTTTGAGCTGCATTGATGGCTAGAAGTTTCTGTCCATTCACCTTCCATCTATCCTTCAGGCTACTACAAAAAATCTGTAGGCAAGACATCTAACAGTTCCCGTACTAATTTCCAAACAGTCCAACCTGAATACTTTGAGAGTTTCTGAAGTCATTCTTTGGGTGTGGATGAGTCAGTTTAGGAACTGAAAGGATTTCTCCATCCCACAGTAGGAGAAATAATACAGTAAAAGTGGTTCACAGAATAGCTCCAGAACCAGCTCAATCTGCTCCTTGTGCTGGACTCACTTCTGGCTGTGTTCTTTTCACTGATTATTTACCTGGACTTCATTTTTTGGATATTTCCCCTCTGTTATTATCATTCAGGTTTCTAGATTATATTGGTTTGGAGTCCTTTATTTACATGGATAGGACTCATCTTCTCCATCACACTCTCCTGGATCTTACTTCTAGCTGAGAATAAGGTGATACTAGCACAGTTAAGTCCACTGCCTGGCCAGTCTTCACTCAGGAGTCAGCAAGAGCCTTTTACATTTCTTCATTTCCTTCTAAACACAGTCTCATCTCCCCACATCCCTTTTCAGTACTGATTAGTTAGGAGCTGGACCCCATGCTGTAACCATTTTCTTAACAATATGTAAAAGATGATTTTAGATGTGGTATAGGACTAATAATCCTCCTCTTCCCCCAAATATGTTTCTGCCCTAATTCTAAGGATGCATAAATATATAATTTTCTATACCAAAGGAGATTTTGTAAATGTGATCAAGTTAATGACCTTTTTTGGAGGCTTATCCAGGTGGACTTTACTCATCCAGGTCTTTAAAAGTTAAACTTTCCAACCTATGATCAAGGAAAGATGTGAAGAAAGAAGGATAAGAGAGATTATTTGGCTCTCCTAAAAACTCTCAGGGAAATAAGCCATTTGAAGATGAACTTTATTTCAGATTGAAGCATTGATAGAGAAACAAGTAGCATTTTAAAAATTTATGTTTTTAATTTTTTCAATCAGTGAGGATAATACTTTGCTGTTTATTGGTACAAAACAGCCCTGTCCAGGTATATGAGGGTATACATAAGTCTGTAATATCATTAGCTACAGTGAATTTACTAGACAGCATAGCAATGTAGGATTTAGATATAGTTTAATTAAGAAAATGCTTTAAAATAACATGAAGTAATGAATATTCGTACAATTCACTCATCAAAATATAAATGTATGTCAGCTTGTGTGTGTGAGTTACACTAAGTCATGCTAAACACAGACGTATGCTTACGTGTGTGTGAAATCATAAACTATTCGCTAAGGGGGTGTCTTGAAGACTTCCAAAAGTACCCCAGATATTTGGTCAAAAATAAGAGATCAACTTTAAGGCAATCTTCCAAGTGAATGTAAACTTTTCTGACTTGGCCTTTCCAGTAAAGTATTACTGTTCTGAGTCCTCTGAACTTATAGTGTCATTGGGTATTTTTTAGTAGCACATTATCACACAAATTGTTATTTTGTAAAAAATAGCTTAAAAATTCTGTAATTATAAAAATGTCTGGGGTGCTTTTACTCATAACATACAGCAGGCACTTTCTGTTGACTTATCTGCAAATCCTAAATAATTTCTCCTGAAAGTTTTTCTTGAGCATCTATAGCTAGAATTGTGTTCCTAGTATTGTGTTCTAAATACCATGCTCACGTATTGACAAATAATAATTTGTCTATAACTCATCTAATTGAAATCTGAGTTTAGAATTTCTTTGAATAGGTCATTTTCTACAGAAGCATTGAAAATAAATAGTGCTACTCTTCGAACATTTTGCATTATGATGACATTTTTTTTTCTTTCTATTACGCCTTTTTCCAAAGTAGTTTTCAGAGCATGTAAACTAAACTGACTACACTGGAGAAGTGGATATAGGCCATTCTGAGAGTCTCCTTGTCATAACCAATTAGTTTCATTTAATCTCCTTCTTAGCCTTATAGTTGGCAGAGACCACCAAGTAATTATCAGGATTCATGTCCTTAAGGGTTGGAGATTTACTCTGGATGGGGGATGTCTTGCCATCCACACGGGAGATCTGCAGCATTCGGCAGGGGTCATGTTTCAACAAATACCCTGCAAAAGTCTCCCATCCTCCTCCCACACGAACCATGACATGTTTGTTGTGCAGCATCTGTAATGAAAAATAAAAAAGAGCAAAAGTGTTAAATTCCAAGAATTCTTACAGTGTCTAAAATCAACTTTCAGTTCTAGTGGAATTAGTACTTCTGTTTGTCTTGCATTTCATGCCCCATTGTTTTTCTGCTTATTGCACAGAGCCTGAGTTAGCATACAGTTTATGAAAGAAGCTTTGTGTTTTCCATGCCAGGGGCTCTTGGGTAAAGATCCCCGGCATCCAGCTTTGCCTAGGGGAACTAGCATCTATGTATACTTCTTCGATTTTCTGGCTACCGATAGTCCATCATAGCTCTCACCACTGCCTCTGGCTCCTGTCTATTTCCTCAAATTAGTGCTCCGTTCTTCCTAGTGGGTTATTTCCTGCTCAACCAGAATTTGAAAGACCATGAAAATGTCTGCTCTTGAATGACAATGTGACCACACAAACACTTGATATAAAACAGAACTAAAAATGCATGCACAGAAATTGGATGATTCCCTAGTCATTGTTTGAGTTCTTCAAGGAAAGGTGTATTTGAATAATTAAACATTTATGATTTTCTTTGGGCTTTTCTTATCACTGCAGAATTCATCTTAAAAAGACAAAAACAAAATACAACTTACCTCCAGACCCAGCTGTAGATTTAAAAAGGGACAAATAACGTGGTTTATTCTAATAAAAATGTGAGAGTCGTGGAGACTTGGCATGGAAAACCAAAAAAATTGACAGTGGTTTCTTCAAATATCAAAATCTAATAAGAAATGTTTTGTAACCACCCTCCTACTGCAATATTATGGACACACACAGGCAGTGCAGCATCAGGAAGGGGAGGGTCACGGGATTTCGGGGTCATTGTGGAATACACATGGTATCTTTGAGTTCCTTTATATGTTAGCTTAACACCTGGACTTTACTGTCTCCCATCCAGAATGAGATGACTTGTGCTCATACCACTTTAATTTAGCTTTTGAGAAAGTGAATCAAGTCTTGGACACCCTTTCTCTATGTCTGGGTCTACAAAATTTTGCACATGTGTTTAGGATTTTTATGAAATCTTATATATCTGTCTATAGCCTCACTGTAAAAATCCTGATTCATGTGGTTGACCTGAAGCAGTTTTAAAAATTAAATATCATGCAAACTATTAAAGTATGATGGATAGCAATAAAAAACCTTAATAATTAAACTGAGTAAAATTCTATAGGCTATTCTCATGTATAGCTATTATAAGATTAGATTAGAAAACATCTTCTAAATTGAATTCTTTAAATTTATTTTAGCCTGTAACTGCCATTCAATAGTACGTCAAGAAGAATTCCTCCAATATAAAGTAGGTTTTATAAATCAGGATATAACTTGCAATACATTGCCTCTCCTGGCTAGCCTCTGGTACCCTGTTTTTGTTTTACAGATGAAGATGCTAAAGATCTTATCTTTTACATGATTTGCTTAGGATCCAGATTTCCTTACTCCAATCTAGAGCTTTCACAAGTGCAGTTCCAACTAAAAAATATATAATCCATCAAGGCTTTTAAAACTTGATCTGTATATTCCCGAACCTACAAGTTTCTTTGTCTCTATTGCCTACTTCAAAACTTAGACACTGGGACAAAAATTGCAAAGACTATTTCAAAACAGCACTTTGACCCTTTTTCCCACTGTCCCAAAGAGCCGCTTTATCCATTACTGAATTTCTGCCACTTCCCAGCCCTGCTAATTGCATCCAAGATTTGCCTCTAAACATTCTCCATTCAATGCCTGTGGCAATATGCCCAATTGACTTGACTGTGAACAGACTCACAAACCAGAAAGATCCACCAGTCAGAACAGTTTTTAAATAATTAACTCTGGGAGTGACCCACATACTTTTCAACATGGATTATACTGATCATGTAGGCACATATTGTGCTTGCATATTCTTCAGTGAATTTGCAGGACCCTGAAAAGTGGAGTCATATCGAATATCAACAACATAGGAATTAAATTTCTGCCCACCTCCTCTTCCACATCCTTCCCATGGCAGTTGTAGATGTCAGGCCAACATTCTTACCAGAATCATAGCTGAGGATTAGCAGAAAACACTCTTATAACATTTCTAAGTTCACTTTTCTTCCTTGGTAATTGGAGGGTAATGGACATAACTGTATTTCTGAGTGACTTCAGACTTCTTACATCTAACTTCATCCTGTGAAAGTGCTTTTAATGAGAACCACATTTCGAGGAAGCATACATTTCTCCAGAGCTCTAAAAGCTTTGTTGATGGAATGACTTGTGTGTGAGGGGGAAGTGAGGGAAAGGGTTGGTTGGTTTGTTTACTCATTATGAAAAATCAGTGTTTCCTGTGATTGTCTCCTTTGGATTGTTTTGTACATAATCACTGCAGAGGTATTTTTCTCCAAAGGTATAGACTGGCCATCCTCCCACTCCCAAATTTTGAAACAATGAACAAACAACACAATTTATACCTACCTTTAAAAAATTTTACCACAAAATTAGATTCTTTCCTTTTAGAAAAAGATACAACTTGCTGTAAAACATTTTTATGTGGTCTACTTGCATACTGCTTCATTCAAGACCTCAAGAATTGGGACATTGTTAATACTAAAATCAGATATCAGGTTTCTTTCTCTGGAAAATTTTCATTCGGTCTCAATATTATATTTCATTTTCACAAATTTTCAAAGACAAGTTTTTATTTTTCTCCTGGTCTTTCCTCTTAACTCTGAAGCTTGGGTCCTTACAAACCAACCAAAAAAAAAAAACAAAAAAAAAAACAAAAAAAGAATTACATACATTAACACACCTTTCACTGAGTGCTCTTTTTTTTTTTTTCTTTTTCTTTTTTTGGTACCAAGGAGCATTTAACCCCTGAGCCATACTCCCAGCCCTTTTTCAATTTTTTTTTTTTTTTTTGAGACAGAGCCTCAATAAGTTGCTAAGGCTGGTTTTGAACTTGCTATCCTTGTCCCTCAGCCTCCAGAGCAGCAGCTGGGATTACAGGTGTGTGCCACCACGCCCAGCTCTGAGTGCTCTTCTGATGAAGCATTTAGCAAGGGCCTATGCCACTGCAATCCATGCACACAAATATTTATTCATACTACTTAAAAACAAAATGGATTTTCTGTATTTTCAATATTGATTCAATATTGAAGAGGAGCAGTTACAGAATCCATTATCTTCCCTTATGCCTCATTTTGGCTACTCCTGGGAGTTGGAAGGAGTTCAGGTTGATATTGTTAATTTCCATAGTAAAACTCAGACATCTTAACCCTTGGAGAGATACATGACCCTGTCTTTGGATATACGAGAAACCGAACTTGTCTGTCACTCCAGGCTCAGTTGGACCTTGTTAATCAATAGCCTATAATTTACTAAGAAAGCCAGTTGTCAAAAAGCTTCTAGGACAGGATTAAGATAAAAAAGGTCACAGAGATTTGATATCCCTGATTATAGAGATTTAAATTGCATGCCCCTTTTTAGTATGTGTTCAGTCTTTTAAAAAAAAATCCAACACCCACCCCATTTCCTACTCTTTAACCTAAAATCATGTGCACCTCTAAAAACAACATTACACTTAATTCTGTCCTCCCTTTCATTTTGACATTTTTGCTACAGTGAGTTCCAGCAGAAGGGCTCCCTCAGCTGGTTTAAAATGGAGATTGTAGATTTGCTCCAAAAACTCAATCCATTTTAGGGATTAGTGACATTTTAGATCTGGTTCTTTTATTTGGGTTTTTTGTTTGTTTGTTTGTTTGTTTTGTTTTGTTTTTTATCCAGCTCCATTTCCTATTCTTTCTTTCTCAAACATTCAACCCATCCCCACTCTTGTTGGTTTACTGATAAATTCACCTAGATCAAGAATGTTTCTTCTTTCAGCCCTTTCTATCAGCTCATTTATCTGAATCCATATTTATCCTTTTCCTTGACTTTCTCAGTCCTCCACCAAATTCAATTCCCTTCATAATGACACTCTCACTATTGGACCTTCTCCTTACATTCGAGCTTCTTGATAGTAAAATATGACCACGGTACATTGACATCTAACTTCCTAATTACTGTACAAAACACAGTGCACATTGCCTTTACCCCTTACTTCTTAATGACTGGATATAGGAAAAGAATCTAGCTTCCAGATGCGTCAAATCTAATGCGTGGCCCTAATACTTATCTTTCTGGATTAATCTGTCAAGAAAAACATCTCATGACATTTCACAACATCTCTCTTGAAACTTTCTACTCTTTGTCTACCAATGACAAGACTCTTTGCTGTATAACAAATACAGATATTGGGTTTCTTTCTCCACCTCCTCTATAGGTTACATTTATTTTACCTTTTCAGGTTTTGCTGTTACAAAAGCATTTGGAATGATTCTGTCCTTTCTTTACTGCTTTTTTCATTCTAACCACTCTTCATTTGCAAACTCACCTCTATCTTGACCTCCAAACTACAACCCTTGCCCTCCTCTCTACCTTAGCATCAGAGTATACAAGTACAGCAGGCTACTGTCCTTTACCAGGAAGCCCCCCAGACCTTTCCTAATAGGGATGGTGGCACAAGTTTCTTCTATAGCTACATAGACATCAAACGTTCATTGATCCCTAAATGTTTTGCAAGGTCTTTATTCCTGTTGCTGATATTTCCTTCAATGCCTCATCTTTTCCCTTGGCTACTATAAAGTTGTTTCTGACTCTAACATTACCCCTTCTGATCCATTTAGTAAACTGTCTCCAAAGAGATTTTTCTTTGACTTGATCATTTCCTGCCTAAACACCTTCATGAGTTTCCTCTCTCCTGTAGGCAGAGATTCAAGTTTCTTTATCTGCATTTATTATTATTCATGCCAAGCTTGTCTACCTTATATGTCTTCCTGTTTCCTGGGACCCATGAATTCTTTTAGTTCTATATTCCAGATAATACATTCCTTTTTTTCATGCTTTTGTATGCTGGCTCCAAAGAATGAAATGTAATTTCTGCTCGGCTTTCCCCACTAACCAGGACTACCAACATTCCCCTG